CACAGCTGGAAAAGGCAGCAAAGTACATCCAAACCTTGTCATCATGGGGGGTACGTTCTTAAAGATAGCCACATTAGGCAAATCCACAACCCGCAAACTCAAAGGAAAGTGGAAAAACGAATGTTTGGTTCACAATCATTAATATAACACGAACCCATCCAGCTTGGGCTGGACACGTGTGAAATAGATTGTCATAGCTCATCAGGTTTTTAACAGCTTAAATAGAATGTCTATTTCTATGCAGACATTCTCTGGGTTCTCAGGTTAAAGAGGCCCAACGCATGCTCGCCGACCAGATTCTGAGTGTGGAGTGAGCAAATCCGGATTCCCTGATTATTGTACTCGGCGACTTTAACAAAGGTAATCTCAGCCACGAACTCCCCAAATACAGACAATTCATCAAATGCCCTACCAGAGAAGGGAACACTCTGGATCACTGCTACACTACAGTCAGTAGAGCCTACCACGCCGTCCCCCGAGCAGCACTGGGACACTTTGACCATGCCATGGTCCACCTGATTCCTGTATACAGGCAGAAACTAAAGCTATGTAAACCTGCTGTGAGGACATCTAAACAGTGGACCAGTGAGGCTATGGAGGATCTACGGGCGTGCTTGGACTGTACTGACTGGGATATGTTCACGACTGCTACCAATAGTCTGGATGAACTCACAGAGGCTGTGACGTCGTACATCAGCTTCTGTGAGGACTGCTGTATTCCAACACACACTAGGGTGAATTTCAACAACAACAAGCCCTGGTTCTCAGCAAAGCTCAGAAGGTTGAGGTTTGAGAATGAGGAAGCGTTTAGGAGTGGGGATAGAGACAGATTCAAGAAGTCGACAAACAGGTTTAGCAAGGCGGTGAGAGAGGCTAAACGACTGTACTCAGAGAGACTAAAACATCAGTTCTCTGCTAACGACTCTGCTTCTGTCTGGAGAGGGCTCAGCAGATCACCAACTACAAGCCCAGAGCCCCCCACACCACTAACGACTCCCGCCTGGCCAACGACCTGAACGAGTTCTACTGCAGATTTGAAATACAATTGGACTGTCCTGAACTACCCATTCCCACCCAAGAGGCCCCCCCCCCCCACCCACTACAGAGACGACTACCTCCATTCAGGAGGGAGAGGTTAACGGACTTTTCAAGAGGCAGAACCCCCGCAAAGCAGCTGGGCCGGACTCTGTCTCTCCAGCGGCCCTCAAGCACTGCGCTGACCAGCTGTCTCCGGTGTTCACCAACATTTACACTATGGGGACCTCATTTGCCAGTAAAAATATGATAATTGGTTCTTTACCCTTCTATCTGGCAACAAAACTGACACCTTTTTGCAAGGAGTCATGTTTGCATAGACCACAATACCTGCAGTCATAATACAAACAAAAGAACATAACTCTGATAATGTGCACTGTCCCTGAAGTTGATTGGTCCACACCCGAGACAGCTTTCCTTCGAGCCTAGTCTCATATGGGTTGGACCAGATGACGCCAAAAGGCGCACAACTCAAGGACAATGCACCATCAGAGTATGAGAGCTCGGGGCAAGCATCTACACTATGGGGACCTCATTTGCCAGTAAAAATATGATAATTGGTTCTTTACCCTTCTATCTGGCAACAAAACTGACACCTTTTTGCAAGGAGTCATGTTTGCATAGACCGCAATACCTGCAGTCATAATACAAACAAAAGAACATAACTCTGATAATGTGCACTGTCCCTGAAGTTGATTGGTCCACACCCGAGACAGCTTTCCTTCGAGCCTAGTCTCATATGGGTTGGACCAGATGACGCCAAAAGGCGCACAACTCAAGGACAATGCACCATCAGAGTATGAGAGCTCGGGGCAAGCATCTACACTATGGGGACCTCATTTGCCAGTAAAAATATGATAATTGGTTCTTTACCCTTCTATCTGGCAAGGAAAGCTGTCTCGGGTGTGGACCAATCAACTTCAGGGACAGTGCACATTATCAGAGTTATGTTCTTTTGTTTGTATTATGACTGCAGGTATTGCGGTCTATGCAAACATGACTCCTTGCAAAAAGGTGTCAGTTTTGTTGCCAGATAGAAGGGTAAAGAACCAATTATCATATTTTTACTGGCAAATGAGGTCCCCATAGTGTAGATGCTTGCCCCGAGCTCTCATACTCTGATGGTGCATTGTCCTTGAGTTGTGCGCCTTTTGGCGTCATCTGGTCCAACCCATATGAGACTAGGCTCGAAGGAAAGCTGTCTCGGGTGTGGACCAATCAACTTCAGGGACAGTGCACATTATCAGAGTTATGTTCTTTTGTTTGTATTATGACTGCAGGTATTGCGGTCTATGCAAACATGACTCCTTGCAAAAAGGTGTCAGTTTTGTTGCCAGATAGAAGGGTAAAGAACCAATTATCATATTTTTACTGGCAAATGAGGTCCCCATAGTGTAGATGCTTGCCCCGAGCTCTCATACTCTGATGGTGCATTGTCCTTGAGTTGTGCGCCTTTTGGCGTCATCTGGTCCAACCCATATGAGACTAGGCTCGAAGGAAAGCTGTCTCGGGTGTGGACCAATCAACTTCAGGGACAGTGCACATTATCAGAGTTATGTTCTTTTGTTTGTATTATGACTGCAGGTATTGTGGTCTATGCAAACATGACTCCTTGCAAAAAGGTGTCAGTTTTGTTGCCAGATAGAAGGGTAAAGAACCAATTATCATATTTGTACTGGCAAATGAGGTCCCCATAGTGTAGATGCTTGCCCCGAGCTCTCATACTCTGATGGTGCATTGTCCTTGAGTTGTGCGCCTTTTGGCGTCATCTGGTCCAACCCATATGAGACTAGGCTCGAAGGAAAGCTGTCTCGGGTGTGGACCAATCAACTTCAGGGACAGTGCACATTATCAGAGTTATGTTCTTTTGTTTGTATTATGACTGCAGGTATTGTGGTCTATGCAAACATGACTCCTTGCAAAAAGGTGTCAGTTTTGTTGCCAGATAGAAGGGTAAAGAACCAATTATTCACCAACATTTTCAACACCTCACTGGAGACATGCCATGTACCAGCCTGTCTCAAGTCCTCCACCATCATCCCTGTGCCCAAAAAGCCAAGGCCAACAGGACTTAATGATTACAGACCCGTCGCCCTAACCTCTGTGCGCCTGGTGCTGGCACATCTCAAAGCCACCACAGACCCTCTCCTGGACCCCCTGCAGTTTGCCTACAGAGCCTCTTCAACAAGGCCAAGGGCTCACACTGACTTAAACATTTTATCTGCACAATGACACCTTGCCATATTTGCACCATGTTACCCTATTTGTATTTTTGTATTTTTATATTGTATATTATAGCTATTTTATATTTTATTTTATTCAAAATTTTTACATACTTTAGCCCCTTAGTATTAGTTAGACGTTGTACCTTTAGTATAGTTAGACTTGTACACCACTTATTTAAGATTTAAGATTCCTATATGTTGAATGTATGCACCTTCCTGCCAAAGTAAATTCCTTGTCTGTGCGAACTTTCATGGCGAATAAAACCATTTCTGATAAAACCCTTTCTTATTTTTCTCCGTGTCCTGCGGGTTTTCCCTCCACATTTAGAATCAACATGCATTCAGAGGATTTGGCTGCGATTGTAAATTCCCACATGATGATAAGCGAGTCAGTTGAGGTACCATTTGTGGCCAAGTTGCTTCTGAAAAATTTCGATATATCTTAGTGAGATTTACCTGTTCCGAAAAATTGTTTATAGTTTAGTTTAGTAGTCTGTGAGCTGCTTGCAAGCAGGATCATATCTTTCATAGCCCCACTCAATGCGGTTGGAGCTGTCACTAGAGCATGGCAAATCCGGGCGACCGCCATGGTCCTTGCCCTTTAGGGGGCCCGCTCACTTCGACGTCGCGGTGTTAGAAGTAATACTTCCGGTTTAGTTTGAAGGGGACGTGGGGAGGCACATAGGGATTTACCCCGGGCCCCGCACCCCCTATGGATGGCCATGGCAGTTGCTATGTCCTACTAGCTCATCGGATTTATCCTTCAGTTAAAAAAAATTAACCCGTAAAAACAAAGTTTTTCACTATAAATCCTTTATATGCGTGGCATCGGTTTTATTTTATTATTCATTTGTTTTTCTTGAGTAAGAGTTTCATTTTTATCACATTGGTATTTTAAATGAAATATGAAAAAACAAATCCTAAAAAGTGTAAAATTTTGGAACAAAAAATTTCACGAAAATAAATTGTCACGCACAACGAGTCTGTGTGCAAAATGTCAGCTCGATTGGATCACGGGAAGTGGGTTAAAAAACGACCGAAAGATTTGCACGGTCGTAAGCGCGCAAGCAAGCAAGTGAACTTAATATAAAGGATTTAAAAATCTTATTATGTTTGAAAAATGCCAGCACAGGCATCTGGGCGCAGGAAAGATGTTAGAGCAGGAGTAGTAGGCCAGTTTGTACTCGGGCCCGTACACATTTGTGATGATGCTGGAGATAATGTTGCTGATGATGATGTTGCTGATTTTGCCGATGATGATGCTGATGGTGATTGTAGCTTGGCATCAAATGTGCAAACATGTTTGCATATTTTGCGCAAGTATTAGTTTCAGACTTCATTTAGACTGGAGGGTGAGCTATGAACCTCTTTTGGAAGGCGTTGATTTTGTGTACAAACATCTTAACACCTCCTGGATTATTCTTTGGGTCTTTCGGTCAAGTCACGTAAGTAGGTTGAAAGAAAATAACAAAAAACGACGATGTTTTGATCACAACACAAGCGATCGTCATCAGGACGATCGCTTGGGTTGTGATCGAAACGTCGTAGTTTTTTGTCATTTTTTTTCAACCTATCTACGTGATTTGACCGAAAGACCCAAAGAATATTAATTCCTGCAGTCACGAAAGCTTTAAGTCAAGATGCCTCCTGTATTATATGCTTTTTAGCATCTTGAATGTGGCAAAAATATCACTTAACAGAATATAAGACAATGAGGCAATGCAATGCAAACACACTGGATTGGTCTCTAAAATGACTTTATTATACAATAAAGGTGACAAATCAGATATTAATTATCGGGCCATAAACCTTTATCCTGAAATTACACACATATTCACCTAAATCATTATCCCAAAAAATGTAGTACATTAGGTAACAACCAAACAATAGAAAAGGCTATTTTTAATCACTCAACAAACGAACGCCTTAAAACAATCACATAATAGAGATATGCATTGAGTACAAATAAGAATTCCTCATTACATTCATATCTTTTTTGAATTCATTTGATTTTAATAGAACAAGCATATGATCAGCTCTAAGTGAGTTTAAACACAACATAAATCTGAGGAACACCTGTAATGGAGGCATTGCCTGTATTAAATGTGAGTGCCCAGCTTAACACATGTGTGTGGCCAATTATACATTAATTAATTATTTTGGGTTATGCCACGTAATGATCTGACCCAATCTGTGTCGTTAGAAAAACCTCCACAGCCAAACAAACTAATTAGAATAGCAATCGCCCACTTCAGTCATTGTTTCTTGCTGTGGTTGTCCCACCTGATAACGGACGCTTGTGTTGCACCCGAAACGTCGTGATTTAATTTATTTTATACCTACGTGACTTTACTGAAAGAACCAAAGAGTACAGTCACTTTGTCTTCCTGGATATTTACTCTGACTTTCTAGATATATGCGCTGAAGATGCCTGCCTACGTCAGACCTGACTAAGTAGCGTAAAATGGCTGGATTTAGATAGTACTAAATGTGTATAAATTGCAATAAAATGTTCACGTAGTATATGATGCATATTAAATGCTATAGATTATGTTGCATAGTAAAAGGTATAAGACATTAAACAACATTTTTTGGAATATATGCTGCAATTAAATGTAATAGAAGTATGTAGTCATATTCAGCCAATATCAATATACTGCTGGATGTAGGCATCCCAAACTGTCACCATCTCTCTCAATCCTGTATCCTAATTATCCACATAGCCACATATTTCTTGAAGGCTTCACTCGTTTTTTAAAGGCCCACCTCTTTTTTGAACGCCCACATTTTGTCAACGGTCCCACCACTTATTTATAGATCAACATCTTTCTTAAAGGTCTCATATTTCTTTTGCCTTGGCTTTTGAGTGACACTGAACTTGGTTCTGAGCTGCAGAGTCGTTGTCATTTTATGTCAACGATATGGATAAAGTTGTACATATGTGGAAAGGTACTGATTTAATTCATAAAAACATTTGGGAGGCTGACGAAAATGTGCAGGTGAGCGGGAATGTCCGTATTCACCACGTCAACTCGTTCAAGATATATATTGAGTGCGAACCACTTTCATGTGAGAGAGATACAGAAGGGATTGTTGTGGCAGGATGTGGAGCCATACACATCAAGGTCCTATTGGCAGGGTCGTCCATAGGTGGGTGCGGGGCCAGGGGAAAATCCCACTGTGTGGGCACCCTGACGCCTTCAAACTAAACCGGAAGTGGTGCATCTGACAATTTGACATTGAAACGCCCCCCCCCCCACCCTTAATTGTGGGAGAAGATTAGAGGGGGTTTAATGAAACCATGTATTTTATAATTAAATATGTTAATCTGAAAACATGACATATGTTACTGGTTGGGTCACAGTTTATCAATATATATTCACCTGAATATTCATGCATTAAACAGTGTTACTTAATAATCTGCTTTCAATCAGCACTGAGCATGTAGCTGTCAGAATTGTAAAAAAAAATCTTTCAATTTCAATAGATTCTCTAATTAGTCTTGCCCAGTAATAATTCGTTTTATACGAAACATCAACGTTAACAAACTCATTTGAATTCCCTTGTTATCAAGCATGTTCTGTAACTGCCGACAGTTGTGTTTGTTATTATTTAATATTTTTTAGTCTTCTTTTAGTCTGATGCTAATCTCTAATCCTGTCTGACCAAGACAGCATTGGCCACAGGATCAATTAATCCGGTACACACGTTATGTCGAAACGCATTGGTAATTAATCTTTAGTACCAGATATAAGTTTTGGTATTATATGTACTGTGCCAAATTTCACTCGCGTTTTATTTTTTATCTATCTAATTTGTTGAAAATAGAAATACAAAGACATGGGCTTAGGCAGGACGCATTGCTTGAAGGGATGATGGTTGGTTATCGAGACTAACAACTGAGTGGCAGCCAAAGGGGCGAACATGCCCAAGAGACCATATATTGTAGAGATGGAGCGTTAAGATTAGTCAAGTGCTGGAGCGTGGTGGAATGTCACATTACAAGACCATGGGAGATGCCGAAGGTTTAGAAACAATTCCATTCAGCAGAAGATCGATCACAGCTGATGATGATGATGAATGGAAATTATTTTCAGCCTTCATTTCACTGCTGTATGAAGTTCTAATCATGGCTAAGTCATGTGGGTTATTTTACTATACTTCACCACACTGGACAGTGCGGGTTGGTGCAATAGAGGCCCAGAACCAACTCAAATATCCCTTGCCATTGGGAGAAATATGATCCAGCAAGGATTGATCATGGCTGATAATGATTATTGGCTAATAATGGATGATAGTGTTGATATATTGCACAATTGATCTGCAGCAATACTCGCATCTTGAGTACAACTATCCAACAACCATGCTTAGCTGATGATGCATGTTTTCTTTGATTCATTCTTCATCGTCTTCTCGTGGTTCTGCTGTATTTCTTGGATGTTCTCATCCGTGTGCGTCTTGATCACTTGCGTATACTTGCTGAATGTATTCTGCAATTTCTGGAAGAAAACCATATCATGCTCACGACCGAATTTATTTTGTCGAAATAATTTATAGAGGTGACCTCAGGAGGAGGTGAGATGGCTGAGCGGCAGCAGGTTTTCCGCTTGTTGCAGGAGTTCGAGGACATCAGCCACCCTGGTAAATACTGATATATGTATTTACCATACACAAATCATTGTTTAATATTCTGTGACATTCTGAAAATACCAGATTGTATGTTCTGGAATGACAGTCCAAATTTTCAAAATTGTATGAATGAATCGACTGACAGGCTGTCCACTTTCAGATTGGGACAGCTGCCACTGCAGGTTCTCTTGGCTAGAATAGCGCAGATGTACTGCAAGGGAGGCACGGTAGACATAATACATATTACGAAAACGACGATGATGATGAAGGTGATGTGGATGATGATCATCATATCGTTGACAGGAGGGGATAGGCCTGGCCACCAGTATCTGTAGTACCCATGCAGCCCTTTCGTCAGTCCAATGTTGGTTGAGGGCTTCACCAAGCTGTACAAGCCCTGGGGATTATTTTACCCCACTGGTCACTACGGGGTGGTGATAGGAAGCATAGACGTGCCCACCACTTAACCTCGCAGCCGCCTATGACAACTTGTGGTGCGTAGTGGTTCTTGCCCATCCAAGCACTATCCATGATCGTTACTACTCAGCTTGCGAGATCTGCCGATATTGGGCAGATTGTGGGTGATTTTGCAATTGTGTAATATACAATTTCTTCGTGTGGGCACTCGAAGCCCAGATTGGTGCACAATTCTCAAAACAGGAAACTACGAGTGCGAAATCTGCCATATGAAAAGTTTTGGTGATTATCTATAGCATCCGTCTATAGATAATCCAAGTATTTAGGGTATGGCTTGTCTTTGGCACAGTTACCATCGAACGTGACTTCCAAATGGATATTTATGTCGTTGTTATTTAGATGGTAAATTGATACAGTAGTTTTGGAAAGATGGAGCCGTACTCATTACCTTCAGAAGTAGTCTTCTAATACAGATAGGTTTTCCATTAGTGTGTCGCTTAATGATCTTCAGGTGTGTTCCCTGAGAAGCCATCGCTATTTCGTCTTCATAGATACGTTTGCAGGATTATACATTTGCAAGTCGCTGGTGAAGATGACGTGACTTTACCGAAAAAACCTAAGAATATGAATCCTTGCAGTCACGAAAGCTTCAAATCTAGAATGAATGCCCTCTACGGGGAGGAATTCCACCTATCTGTTAGAGTTTTTAAGAGATAACGAGACAAGAAGTCACAGCTTCTCGAGACGCTGGCCTTCCTCAAGAGATGCCGAGATAACAATATCGCTTTCACACTCACATCCGCTGCTGTGTCCTCACCGAACTCTAAACAGATTTTATTTAAAGCTAGCCTATCACTAATCTCGGAGAGAATAAGGTTACTCCGATCTGAACTCGATAATTTAGACAAGACTCTCTTACAAACACATTTAATGTTAACACAAAAAATGTCACCTTCCGATTGGAACCACGTTGATAACATGACTTCTGCTTCTGCTGACTCAATGTCAGCCAAATGCAAAGCTAACCTGATTTCTAAATTCAACCTCCTATCTAAGAAGAAACCAGAGCCACACATCACAAAGCTGGATGTTAACAAGACCGTTATTAATCAGAGTAACATCCCAATTTCTGACAATCTAAAAACGGTACTGGCCAAAGGACTAAATTTCGCCGTCACCCCTAAATATATACCAGTAGAGGATGTGATTTCTCAGATTGATGTAGCCCTCAAGAGGCATAGGACACATCCATGCGGATATAGCAAGAGCTGAAATAGCCACTATTCTTAAGAATGCTAAGAAACCCACTAGTAACATTAGCAAAAACGAACGCTCTGAACTCGCGGACCTAATAAAGAGAGATAATATAGTCATCCTCTCGGCAGACAACGGCAATGCCACGGTCATCATGGATAAAGATTCATACAACAACAAAATCCTGGACCTACTTAATGATGGGAGTTACTCCAAAATTAAAAACGATCCTACTAATAGCCTAACGACAAAAACCAACAAAATCATCACGAGTTCGACTTCCCTAATCAAACCAACCAACCGCCCCTCTCTAAAACCATCGGCGGCAAGACCTCCCAGACTCTATGGTCTTCCCAAGATCCATAAAGAAGGCACCCCGCTACGACCCATCGTGTCGACGATCAACTCTCCTACCTACAAACTAGCCCGGTTTCTATCAGATACTCTGCTTCCCTTCACAGGCAAGACCTCTTCGGCAGTACTCAACTCAATCCAATTAGTCTCTATGGTCAAGGACATGGTACTATCTCCTGATGACATCCTCGTCAGTTTTGATGTAGTATCTCTGTTTACCAAAGTCCCAGTACCGGACACCCTAACAATAATTGAGGACATGGTCCAACATGGATTGAATTCTGATGTACCTGGGCTGGTTAGGCATTGCCTCACCAACACCTACTTTACCTGGAATGGCACGTTCTACAAACAGAATGAGGGTACCCCTATGGGCTCCCCCTTGTCACCAGTGATAGCCAACATTTCGATTTAAAGCTTTCGTGACTGCAGGGATTCATCTTCTTGGTTCTTTCGGTAAAGTCACGTAGAAGGGAAGTAATAAAATAATAAAAATAAAACATAATAAAAATAATTCTCACGCCGTTTCGGCCACAACGCAAGTAGCCATCCTCAGGTGAAACCAGGTCTGTCGAGGCGACAGCGTCTGAATGAAACAGCACACGTGCTTGGAGCATATATATAAGCTGGGTTGGAAGGGGGGGGGAAAGGGGGCGCCTTGACAAAATAATTTGCATATCAAGAGGAATCCAGCATACCCATGGGAAATGCAGGTATGTGATTAGTACTACTTGTGTCAGAGCATTATGCAGGATTAGCAGCATCCAAGGGAGGGGATATGGGAAATGCAGATATGTGATTAGTGCTACTTTGCCCGTGCATGATGCAGGATTAGCAGCATCACATGGAGGGGATAGGGGTAGCATTAATAAAGGGAAGAAGTGTTAATAGTATGTAGCTGCAGTAACTAAAACCACCACGTAAACAACTAAAGTATAAACTACATAGTATCATCATTATACTAAATATACTCTACAATAAGCTGAGTTACTAACAGTAAGTAATGCATTACAATTCTACGTCATAAAAAATATTATATGCTTCCATCTAAACTTTATTCTCTTACATCACACGAGTCTACACCGTACTATATATTGCCATAGACAAACCCAAACATTAAATTATATACTGTATTGTAGAGTATATTTAGTATAATGATGATACTATGTAAATTTCGATTTAAAGCTTTCGTGACTGCAGGGATTCATCTTCTTGGTTCTTTCGGTAAAGTCACGTAGAAGGGAAGTAATAAAATAATAAAAATAAAAACATAATAAAATAAAATAATTCTCACGACGTTTCGGCTACAACGCAAGCAGCCGTCTTCAGGTGAAGAATGAGACACTACCAAGCTAGGAGCTTATATATAAGCTGCGTTGGAGGTGGAAGAGCGCCTTAACAAAAAGAATGTGCATATGAAGAGGAATTTAGCATATTCATGGAAAATGCGTAGGAGGTGCGCGGGGGGGTTTCAAAGTCATATTATGCCCATGCATTATGCAGGATCAGCAGCACCAAGGGGGGGTGCAGGGATTAGCAGTAACAAAGGAAAGGAATGTTAATGATATTTAGCTGCAGTTACTCAACAACCACGTAGAAAACTAAAGTATAAACTACATTACTTTAGTTTTTAATGTAGTTTATACTTTAGTTTTCAGCGGTTATGACATTTTGGACTCCTGGCTTCTTCTGATGGTGTTGGCCGATGTTTCGTTGGTGGCGACTCTTTCTGTCACCTCATAGTCTGTAAGGGCTTGCTTGATGTAAGTGGCAAGGACCAATTTTAGATGGTTGATGGTGAAAATTAACGTCCTATTAATTGATTTAATAGTTTGAGTCTCCAGCATGGGTTTCCTGGAGCACAAGAACGTCGATATTTTTTTTGGTTTAACACTTGGGGGGCACATCACATTTTATACGTGAAAAGCCTTCCACGAAAACTATGACGGGGAGACAGTCCTCTACTCAGAGCAGGAATCTGCCAAACAACAGGGACTATCTCCTCTTCTAAACAAAAGAAAAAAGGAAGTTTGGGAGCATAACAGTGAGGTATGGGAAGCTTTAACTCCCAGACTACTGTAGGCTCGCCCCCAATCAATGGAAGTTGCGGAATGGTGGTGTTGGTGGTGGTAGCTTATGCACCCACTGAAGACGAATATCAGTGGAGGGATGCAGGCAAAGCCGATGGGTCAGATGCATTCTATGAGCGCCTGTCACAAGTACTTGCTAAAGTGGCACCTCAGGATGAATTCATCTCATTGGATGACTTTAATGCCGAGTGGGTCATGACACTGGCACCGAGGCTGGAATGGTTGGAAAACATGAACCACGTCAGTTCAATAATAATGGTAGAAGGCTGCTCGACTTCTTTTCAGGCCCATGTGCTTGTAATTACCACCACACTTCCAGTATCGGTGGATCCACACAGCATTGATACATGCCTGGTCCTCGCAGGAAAATCTGTATCGGTGGATCCACACAGCATTGATACATGCCTGGTCCTCGCAGGAAAATCTGCTGGTGACAACAGCAGATGAAGGCCCATTTCCTACCGTGGAGCTGGCCATCGGCTTATCATTTGTAAAATGTTATAATCGCTTGCAGCTGGAGATGACATCGCCCCCCTCCTCCTGATGCTGAGGGGAAATAGTTCTGTGTCAGGACTGTGGATCATGCATCTTCCATGGCTGCATTCGATACGTGGTCCAGACCTCCTTAGAAAACTAGGTTCAGGAGGAGATGTTGTGGCTTGGTGAGAAAAAGTGTCAGGCGCACTGCCATAGTCTACAGCATGCCATATCAGAGGCTTAGAGAGCCATGCAGCACTGCAAGGATAAGTGGCTGTTCGGTTTGCTGAGCAAACGGACGCGGCCTCATTAGCCTGCGTCACAAATCACAATTTAATTCCATTAAAAAAGTAACTTGCAATACCTCATCTATTCCCATTCTTAGAAGAAAGGATGGTGAACTATCTTTGACCCCAGGAACAGGTTTTCAGGTTTTCTGAGCATTTCTCTGAGGTCTTGGGGGAGAGGAAATCCCTCATCTCAGATAACATCATGGGCAAAGGTGGGGATGATGTGACTGCGATTTATCAAATATTGGAAGTAGTCACCCCTTTGAGGGAATTGCTGAGGCGCCATCTATTGAGGAAGTACGGAAGGCGATCTAAAGTTTGTGAACAGGAAAAGCGCTGGTCAGAGTCGATCTCCAAAACGAACTGCTGCGGGAGGGTTGCATTTGTATGCAGACAGTCCTATATGACATTATTACAACCACAGTCTGGACCACTGGATCGGTTCCGCAGGATTGAAATAATAATTCAAGATCGCCTTACCATGCACGCTGAGGAGAGGCTTGCAGAGCCCCAATGTGTTATCAGGCCAGGGCGGCCTTGCACAGACACCATGTTCCAACAGAACCAACAGCTCTGCTAATTGAGCTGGTCGAGGCCTAAAATACCATAAATAGGTCAGGGCTCTAGGTTGTTCTTCGTCTATTCAGAATCCCAGACTCTCTGCTCACAATTATTAGGGACCTTCATGATGGTGGGTATGCCCAGGTAAAGCTACGTGGCTGGGAGCCACAGCCATTCCCTGTTCACCTTGGGGTGCGACGGGGATGTCCTCTGTCTCCTGCATAATTTAATAACATTTTCGTCCATGTACTTCGGGAAGATTTCTGTAGCTTTACTGGAAGAATTCCTATCTGGTACACATACAGCTGATCGATGCCCGGGTGCGGTAGAGGGATGGTTCAATTTTGGTCAACCAAGTTATGATTGCAGAGGATCTGGTGATTGCTGCTTACTCAAAACATGATATGGAGCCTCACTTACTGAACTTCGAGCATGCTATTAAGAGGTGGGGCCTTACCATCAGCCCCACCAAAGTGACGTGGAAAACCTGGTATAATCACCTTGTACTGATTTTTAAGGAATGAAATTTGCTTCTCCTGGTTGTCTTGTTCTGCTTTCATGTTCTTTATCTGCAGTGCCATGATCTTTTCATTCTGCTTGTTCTCTGGAAAATAATTCAACGACATTTATTTACACACCTCCGCCCAACGTCAATGCTTTCTAATGTTGAAAGCGTTTTTTAATCAGCTATGTTTGTCTGCTCATCAGTCGTGCTCCACATAATGTAGAGCATAATAAGGTGTGGAGCCAGGCTGTTGATAGAGGCAGAAGAAGGTAGGCACGAAGTGCCAGTTTACAGAGGTTTTTCCACCAGGATTTGTAGAAGCAGTTTTGGAACATCCAACATACGATTGAAGGCACCCCCAACATACTTTTTGCCCCGCCACCCTGCTGGGCTGTTATTGGCCCATTTTGAACAACCATGCAAACCCACTAGAGTATATGACGGCATGTGCAGGGCCATTGGGGGAGAGATTATGCAAGCTTACAAAGCCCCTGGAGAGCAGACCTATGTCGATGTGTGCAACCGCGGGGTAGAATAATCTGGGTTACCAGGCCAGATCCAAAACAATGTAATTAGCAGTGTCAATTGAAAGTACTGTTTCTGCTCAAGTCAGTGCGGGCACTGAGTGTGCCCGAGTCAGAGGCAATTGGAGTGAATCCCTACCAAATCCCTCCAATCCCATGTTGTGTTATAAGTTCCGTGGAAGTCCTAATGCATATTTAAATCTACAAGAGTGACTCTGGGGAGCATGTGAGAATGAGGTGTGGGGTCGTCACGATATCGGCTCATCACTCTCTGGGATGACGCTACACTTTTATAATGGGGAGGTGGGGGGCATGATAACTCTTATAAAGAATTCTATATTAATCCAACTTACATTTAAAGTTATGTTAATATTAGGAGCTCATGCTATTAAAATGTATCAAGGAGGTGCCTAAAACTTGAGACAAAGCCCATGCTTAAAGGCCTGCGTGCCCTACAAGCACAGCTGCTAAACTACTCATTGTTCTATCGCAGCCTTCTTGTGTACCCAATGAGACTGCTACCATTATTATCACTGATTTAATATTTCCTAAGACATTAAAATGCACGACATTATCCATGTATATACATGCGTTTTTCTGTTGTTACTGAGTGAATAGACATTGCTGACCTCTTGGATTAACCTGATGCCAATGGCTATTTGTGATTGAGGATTAAAGTTGCATTTTCTTACCCATGTCCTGCTGTTGAAAGCTGGTCAACGTCTTGTCTACTATTAGGATCGCATTACCACTCTCCTTCTTCTGCTCCAGAAATTCCTTGTACATCGTCTCCATCTGCAAAGGTGGAAAAAGTGAAGGTACAGCCTTTTAATTACATTAACACAAGGTTCCACCAGGTCATAAGAAGCCACATTGTGTGAATCTCATGCCCAACAAGGCTTCATGAACCAGGCTTATGCTGCTGTACAATCTTCTGCTACTGCTATTTATTGGATGTTCCTACACAAAAGGCCGTGTACACAGTGACATAGTCTGTGAATTAACTCCACCACAGCTCTCTATACTTCATAGGGGTTGAACTGCATTGTTGTGGATTAAGTGCATGGGTCTAATAAGGGCTTGCATAACTTCAAGTGATGACTAGGGGTTTTATTAAGGTCCTGACGAATTTGAAGACGACTGTTTTCCTCTAATTGAAGGACTTCCTGGAGGGTTGCAGCATTTCGGCAGATGAGTGGGGGAAAGATGTGATAGTACAGGCAGCCAGTATGTTGGGGTCGACTTGAGAATTTCAGTGATACACCGCATTGCATTGTTCAGTTTGACATCAATACGTCGAGTGTGACTACTTCTAGTCTATACTGGGGAAGAGTATTTGGCTACAGAGCACACAAGGGCCATCATTGATGTCCGTAGCACTGGTGCTGATGCTGCCCAGTTTGTGCTTTCTAGTTTATAGCCCATTTTGACCCTTGTTTTGGTCTTGGACACATTTTCAGATAGTCGTGGACGGTTAGCGTATGGTCTCCGAGATAGGTTGGAGTGAGGTCGCATCGCACATTGTTGCCACAGAAGGTCGCTTTCAGATTGTGTTTGGCACTCCTATTATCAAGATGAAATGCAGTGACTGTTGTTTTCTGGGGATATGGCTTGAGCCTTCATTTCAGAAAAAAAATCCCCCAATGGTGTTTAGATCTTGGTCATTGAAAGTGGCTGCCAGAGCAAGGTTATCCGCATATTACATTTGCGTGACCCGGTTGATGGCACGTCACTCGTGTAGACATGAACCTTGCGTAAATCCATGGTTGAGGAACCAGTGTGAGCTAGCATTGTTGCCCATATAGACACACAGTTGCCTATTGCTTAGCATCATCCATATCAGGCGTATTGTTTTGAGGAAAGGAATGGTCCCTGCGAGCGTCAACATCAAGCCCTTAATCTAGACTGTGCCGTAGGATAATGACAAGTCCACAGAGGCTGTGCCGGTCTTGGATTTCTTCTAGAATGTGGAATTGATGTGATTCGCAAGGGCAAAAACTTGTTCACAGAAGCTGCATCAAGGGCGGAATCTTCCTTGTTCTTCAGGGATTACTGACTCCACAAGCGGGCGGATTCTCTGGAGGATGTTGCATTCCAGATTTTGTAGGTTGTGCACAAGAGTGACATAAACCTATAACTTCCTGGGTCATCAGTTGGCTTGCCCCATTTGGGAATGCCAATGACTATATTCTTCCGCCATGCTTTTTAGATGAATCCAGTTGTCATGTATTTTGTGTATAGATTGCCAGCCATTGGAGTCCCCTATGGCCTAAGTAATGTAGAGATTCTGGGGAGATATACCATCTGTGCCAGCAGCCTTGCCTTTCTTCATTGTGTAGCGCCATTGTTAGGCTGTATGCATGTTACCATTGGAACTTACCTGTAGTAGCAGACATGTGTCAACAGGGGCTGGTAGACAGGCGAGGTGGGATAAACCGGACCGTTGGGCCACTAGGGTCCCCAGACCCCAAGAGGGGGGCTGGGGGATATACCAGGGCCCCCTAGACAGTTCCAGAAGGGAGGTGGGGCTAGGGGTGGAGAGATCCTGGAACGGGTATAAATTCCGGACCCCTGAACGGGTCCAGCAGTCCTCGTCCACCTGAAGACCAGAAGAGCTACCCTGAAGACCTGAAGCGAAGAACCCAGTGGGCAGAACCCGGACTCCTGGCTAGGGTCGGGTTCAGACATAACCAGTGTAGGGTTAGCGCTATAACCAGAGTGAGGGCACGTTAGTCCAGAGGGTCTACCTCCTTAGGATATCGGGTGTGAGGGGTCGTTACCCCTCTGTGTTATGTTCCCCTAGTTGAAATGAACGTGTTGCCTCTAGCGAACCATCTCTCCTTGTCTTGGTCCCACTACAATTACATACAGACCCTTCCTCACTTACTCTGTACTGATGGTGGTGTGGTCTTGTAAATAAATTTAAGCCAATTCTGGTGTAATTGAAGATAGATCCCTCGCTTGATGTTTTTTTTGTGAAGGGTCCTTTTGTGTTTTACACTAGTTTGGAGGCTAAAGAGTTGGGCAATCTGCCACTCAAAGTGCCCTACTAGAGCAAGGCCTGTAGCATTGCTATAATTGGGAATCAGAAACATTTCCAACCATTCTCATTGCGAAGATATGGCCACATTTCAACAAAGTAACAAAAAAAATTATGTTTTATTTAAATGAACATTAAGGCAGTGCTCATGTTTTGATTACAACCCCGAGTAAGTTGTTTAAATTACACATTTCTCTTGTGGCTCAAGTATATAAGTTCAAACCCCACTATTGACTTCTCCACAATGTGGCGCTCATTTGTTGAGCCCGGAGGGATGATGGATTGAGACAGCTACCAATCAGGATTTGTTTGAGAGTTACTTACTATTCTGCTGAGCCACATGACCAGTTAAGATGTATTGAGTCCAATTACAAGCATTGCTTCATTTATTTGCTTTCTTTAGTGTGTCCCTCATTCCCTCATTAGTAATCGGTGCATTATATATGTGGTTGTTGTGGTAAGTCACCTCGTCTCCGAGCCCTGTGGTCTTATAGTAATCCTCTTCAATCTTCTTCATCATAGCCTGATATTTCCTGAAGCCTCCGGGCTGCATGAAGCCCTGGTACGTCTCATCCACGAGGCAATACAGCTTTTTAAGTCGTATTCTGCATGTTTCCTGTGATCGCTGCTTGTTCTGTGTCCCCAGCTTCAGAAATGTCGTCTTCATGTGCTCCTGTAATCATAACAACACGCATTGGCAGTGATGTTGATCCTGGGCTGTTGCAGTAGTGTAGCGTATTTAACATGGGCCCTAGAGCAAGAATTAAAAAGAAAGGCCCCTGACAAATTGCACTCAGCCTTTCAACCACCCACTCAATCTCTCACCCAGTCACCTATCCTCCAGTTCACTCACTCACCCGCCCACGAAATTGCTTGCTTACCCACCCACTCAGAATCAGAATTTGTATTTAGACTGGAAGAATCAGATGAGCTATGGAGCTCTTTTTCACAGATGTCCAGTAGGGGTGGGTCGTAAAGTTAGAACAAAAATCAATATAAATAGATAGGAATTAAAAGTATAGTAAAGCTAAGCATGTAACTAAATATAAAAAATAAGTAAAATTTGCATAAATACATCAATTCCTCCCAATTTTTCAACACCAAATGCATTCTTGGGCAAGGAAGCAAAACAACAAAGTCTTAGACCACACAAGACAATACATAGTCCCTCAAAGTTGCACTCAGCCACCTACTCACTGTTATTCATTTATCCACTTTAGTCCAAGACGCTTTACAGACGTTAGTGGTTTGAATACTATAGTGGGGTTATAATTCTAGTTATGATCATAGGAGGACAAGTGGAAGTGGTTAAGGAGGGGTTGGGGTAGGAAAATTGATAGGAGTAGTGCTAAGGGTTGGGGTAATGATTGGGTTATTGACTATACTTTGCACGTGATAATCAATTGACATTCCGGTCGCATTTGGCTGAGGCTCTTTAGAATAGTACAAAACTGAATTGTGGAGTCTGCGAATGCCACACCTGATCCTCCCACAAATGTTTTCACTTGAACTTGAGTACTAACCAGCAGATGCTCCGATGTTTCTGACTTATGCAGCATTTCGTTTTGTGCAAAGCACACGTGCACTGCTCGCATGTGTAGTGGTGGTATTGACGTGCGCCGGCAGTGATGGATCACGGGGCGCGGGGTTGGGCACGCGGTGTGGGCGTGGCATGGACGCGCGCGCCGGTGGTGAGGCGCGCTCACACAAGCTGGGAAAAGAGGATCGTAGCGAGTGCGCAGTGATTGGTCAGATAAGTGAGTACTCTCAGCGACGTCCGCAGGAGGGGTATAAAGGGGGACGCGCGAGAGCACTCGTGGTCAGTGTTAACCAGTTGAAGACCGAAGACGGGGTGGAGGAGGTAGGGGCCCTGTGTGGCTCGGAGCCGAGACTGGAGGGACCGTAGTCCGACGCCCGTGTGGGTCGGGACGGTGGTACCCAGAGCCGAGACGGGCACCCCGGCTGGGTGTGTCCCGGAAGGCTACAGGGCGTAAGAGCCCGTGTCAGTACAGCTGAGTGGGTGTTGGTCACCCGTGTAGCTGAGTGGGTGTTGGTCACCCGTGTAGCTGAGTGGGTGTCCGTCACCCGTGTAGCTAAGTGGGTGTTGGTCACCCGTGTAACGAAGTCGTAGCTGAGTGGGTGTCCGTCACCCGTGTAGCTAAGTGGGTGTTGGTCACCCGTGTAACGAAGTCGTAGCTGAGTGGGTGTCCGTCACCCGTGTAGCTAAGTGGGTGTTGGTCACCCGTGTAACGAAGTAGGGTGTTAGTCATCCGTGTAACTACAAGTTGGTGAAAATAAAGAGTGTGCTACCCGTGAAGTCGTCTCCTGCCGAGTTACTACTTTACAACTGGCGTCAGAAGTAAACCTGTCTTCAAGGAGAATGGACACAAGGAAGACTTCTCGTTCCCACGTGCAAGACCGGGGAGACGACGACGTACCGGTGACACCACCCTCGGGAGGAGAGGACGAGGAGTTGCCGCCGATGCAGCACTTCGCGGAAATGGCCGATGCTCCGCCCGCCTCCGACACCAGCCTGCAGGACGCACACTCCCGCCTGGCGGAGTTGCTGCTCGCCGCCGCGGCGATCTTGGCGGAGATCTCCGTTCCAGCGGCCGGTGGAACGCCTGCGGGGTTGGAAGAGGCGGCGCGGCTGGAGGGTTCCCGCCATAAGGCGTTTCGCGCCAAAAGTTTGGGAGTTGGCGCCATTTTTGAGGGTCCGCCTCCGGTTGGCGGGAAACGCGGACACCACGTGGCCAGAGGTCTCCACACAGCGCAGCCCGCGTCATCGGCGAGCGCCGGAGCTCTCCATTTTGCGCCTGCAGAGGGAGCCGACATTTTCTACAACCACAGCAGCGCGCGGGAAAATCGTTCCAACGACGACGACGACGATCGAGTTCTCCAGCAACGATTGCCCGCGCTGTCGGTGTTCAAGGCGGACGGGGGCGACTGGGGAGCCTTCCAGCGACGGTTCATCGCGCATCAAGAAATGTCGGGGTGGTCCGACACCACGGCCCTGCGCGCGCTGCCAGCGATGCTCGACGACGACGCGCTTGCGGCCTTCACGTCTGCCCCGAGGTCGTCCCGCTCAACGCTCCAGGCCGCGCTGCACCTGTTGGCCAAGGTGTTCGGGCCGCCCTCGACCTGTCGCCACCAGTTCTACGATCGGCGGAAGGTGGTTGGAGAAACAACGCTCGCCTATCGCACGGCGCTGCTCGCCCTGGCGGATTCAGCTTTTCCCCGCATGGACAAGGAGGGGAAGGACGCCATGGTGACGGAGCAGCTGCTGGCGCTGGCTCACGGATTGGGAGTTCCCATTAATACGGCGGACGAGATGGACATCTGCTCCCTGGGGATTGCCACGAGTATCCACGCTTACGAGGTCCTACAGCGGAAGCCGACGGTCGTCTGCGCATCGGTGGAGAACGGGGCACCGGCCGCCACGATCATCGGACCTCAGCCTGCTGTGCCTCGGGAGGAGGCCTTCGCTGGTTCGAGGCCGGGGGAGTGGAGACCGGGAGGTCGTTCGCCCACACGCTCCTCCCGCAAGCTGGAGCAACCGAAACCTACGACGTCCCTTGTCGTCTGCTACAACTGCGGCCTTCGGGGCCACGTCGCGGCCGGGTGCCGGGCCCCGCGTCAACGCACCGCGGGACCACGTCCGGACGACGACCAGGGACTCAAGACATCCCAACTGAACCCGGCAAGTCGCGGCACCTCACACGCTCGGTCCACACGCACGGCACGTTCGGGTCGCCGCTTAGCGGTGGGGGGACCGTGTATGGGCGCCGGGGGTTCGGTTCGGCGAGAGGGGTCCGCGTACGGCCCGAAGGCAGTCGAGTGGTCCGAATTGGCCCACAGGATTGTGGCTGCGTCGGCCGGGTCGTCCGTGGTAACGGGGTACATTGACGGGGTTGAGGTCCGGGTGCTCGTGGACACGGGTGCGTCGGCCACTATTATTTCGGACCTTATTTATAATATTCTTCCCGTACAATGTCGACCACTTCTGCCGGTGGACGTACCATTTTACGCGGCAAACGGGGGATCTTTGGGAATCATCGGCCAGATTCGGGCGAATATTTGTATTGGCGACATAAAATTGGCGGGTCCTATTTTTGTATCATCATCGTTGGCCGTTCCTTGTTTACTAGGCACGGACTTTCTGTCTAAAATGCCCATAAAAATTCTCATAGACCAGGCCTGCATTGAGCTTCCGTCGGGTCGGCGGGTTGAGTTTTTGAAGAGTCCAAATAAGATACGCACGGCTTGTACGACGGTGCAGGCGCTGGCAACCCGGACTGTACGGGTGCCCCCGGGATCGCAAATGTTGGTACCCCTTCGGTTGAGAAAACAACTGGGGGCGGATGCGGGGGCGCAGGGAGTTCTATTGGGGCCGTCTAACAGGGCTAAAGGGGACCTCGGCTTAGCGGTGGCCCAGACCATGGTGAGGGGGGACAGTGAGCCGTTCGTTGTGGTCCTGAATACGGGGTCGCGGCCGGCCGTGATTACGCAGGGAACGGTGCTCGCTCACGCCGCGCCGCTACCCGTCGAGGAACAGCTCGTTGCTCACGCCGATTCACATGTCGATACGCATCCCCAAAGTGAGGAGGGGACGGAGTGGTTGGACGCGTTGTGTGCCGGGTCCAGTACCTTGTCCAGTGTGCAGTTGGGTGCATTGAGGGGCTTGCTGCTCGAGTTCGCTGACGTGTTTAGCAGGCACAAGTACGACATTGGCTGCACAGACCTGTTGCGCCACCACATAGAGACTGGGGACGCGGCCCCTATTTGACAGAATCCCTTCCGGCTCAGTCCAGCCGAGAAGGAGCATGTGCAGTCGGCAGTAAATGACATGTTGGCGGCCGACATCATTGCGCCCTCTTCCAGTCCGTGGGGTGCTCCTATCGTCTTGGTTAAAAAACAGGATGGATCCCTGCGGTTCTGTGTTGATTTCCGCCGCCTAAACAAAATATCAATGGCCGATGCGTATCCGCTCCCCAGGATGGATGAGTCGCTGGATGCCTTGGCAGGAGCACAGTTTTTTTCGACGCTCGATTTGCTTTCGGGATTTTGGCAATTGCCCCTCGATGACGAATCAAAACCTAAAACCGCTTTCCGGACACCGGGAGGCCTATTTGAGTTCAACCGATTGCCCATGGGTTTACATTCCGCTCCTGCCACGTTCCAGAGGCTCATGGAATTGGTTTTGGCAGGCCTTCAATGGGACACCTGTTTGATTTACCTCGATGATATCATCGTTTTCAGCCGAACTTTTGAGGAGCACCTCCAGCGACTGAGGGCAGTGTTTCTCAGGATGCGTTCCGCGAAGCTTAAATTTAAACCGGCTAAATGTTTTCTGCTTCGGGAATCGGTCAGGTATTTGGGCCATATCGTTAGCCGTTCGGGGATCTCGACGGACCCTGCTAAGACGCAATGCGTCGGCTCATGGCCAACACCGACCTCTGTTACTGAAGTCCGCAGCTTCATAGGATTTGCCTCCTATTACCGTCGTTTTGTCAAACAGTTTGCCACCATAGCCAGGCCCCTGCACGCCTTGACGGCTAAAGGGGTGCGGTTTCACTGGGGGCCGGAGGAGGAGGCCGCGTTCTGCTCCCTTCGTGACGCCTTGGTGCAGGCTCCCCCCTTGTGTTACCCCGATTTCACGCAACCGTTTGTGCT